GGCTGCGGCGCAGGCGGCGGCGGCTCCGACCCCCTCACGGCGCCATCTTCCTCCTCCTCGGCCGCCCGGGCACCGCCCTGCACATCCCGCCCCCTCCGGCGCCGCCTGGCCAATCTGCACCCGAGTCGCGCGTTTGCCCGCCAATAGGAGCCTCGGCTGCCCGGCGCTGGCCAATCCTCTCCCTGATGGACGCCTGAGCCGTGCCAGCGGCCCCCCCGTGATGGAATGGCGGCTCCGCCAATGGGCGACGGCTTTGGGAATGACGGACGGATACGCGCGTCCAGTGAGAGGAGCGGGTTGCTGATGGAGAGCGCAGCTTTCCAATTGGGAGCGAGGCGGGGCTCTCGCTCTTGCCCTGGCTTGATAAATGGGGGCGTGAAAACCAGGCTGGAAGAAGAAGCCGGAGTTAGTGGGGGGCACTTGCGACTGGTCGAGGCGGGCATGGATTGGCATGGCATGGAGCCAATCAGGGCGGGAGGTGGTTCAGTTGAACCTCTAGAGGGCGCCTGTCCCAACAGGGGTGCTGCCTGGCCGGCTCCGCCCGGCTGCCCTGGAGCCGGGGGCCCGGGGAGGTGGTGGTGTCTCAGTCCTCGGAGGTTTTTAAGACGTGGCTAAACCGAGCCTTGGCTGAGATGATCTAGCTGGGGCTGGTCCTGCTTGGAGCAGGGGTTGGACTAGACGCCTCCTGAGGTCCCTTCCAGCCTCCTTTTCCCTGATGCACTGATTGTAGACTACCCCGGAGGGAACATGGATGAGGAGCTCCAGTGCACAAGTGCCTCCTTCGGGAGATGAGTGCCTTTGTCCCTCACAATCTCCAAAAAGACCCCAAGGTTCAGGTCCATAATGCTGTTGTGGCGCCCCACTCCAGTCGATGGATGTGAAACGTGGGTGACCTGCCATTATCTTCTCAAGAGCCTAGAGGGGCTGGACGCCTCCAGGAAATCTTCCACATCAAATGGGAAGGTGGCCACGCCAGTGCCAGGATCTTTGCTGAGGCTAGGGTTACCAGCCTGGAGTTGGTGATCCTCGAGCACCAGTTTTGTTGGCCTGGACGTCGTGCGCGGATGCCTGACTCTTGACTCCTAAAGCAAGTGCTCTGCTCCCAGCTTAGTAACAGCCTGAGGTCTTGTGACAGCCTGAGGAACTGTGACAAGGGCATGTTGAAGGCACACCTCGAGAAAGTGGATGCCGACATCAAGAGCTGGGAGAAGCTGGCTGCTGGCCGACTCCAGTGGCACTGCCGTCTCGACTAAGCAGCGGCCTGTTTTGAGGTAAAGCATCTTGCCCTCCAAGCAGAGAAGAGAGAGCAAAGGAAGGTAAAGGAGAGGAATCCCAGCCTGAGGCCTGCTCTCCCCTGTGGAAAGGCCAGCAGCTTCTGTGGATGGATCTGTGGCTCAAGGATTGGACTCTTAGTCACTTCAAGACCCATCAAACAGCCGTGGCAGAGATCATCCCCCAATGGAGAAGTTGCCAACAACTCCACCCCTCCACCCCCCAGCTCTCTCTGGATGATGAGGGCTAATTCAAGGTAATTGCCATTCAAGACACACGTGGTCCGTCCTGCACCTCTTTTGATGTGAGTCAAAGCCTGAGACAATTGGCTCCTAGATCAACTAGTATGTTTTAGCCCACATAACCAGGAAGGCATATTCCTGCTTCTCAGAGTTTACCACTGAAGAGCAAAGGGGCAGAGGTGAAGGAAAGAGGCAGCTGAGACGACTTCCACTCCTCCTTGTTCCCAGATGGTCCCTGGCTCTATTTTTTAAGAGCTCAGGACAAGGCTGTCACAGGGGACCTGATTTGCAACAGAACTCGGTTCCCTTTAGGCATCTCAAGAAGGTCCAAGTCTGCAGATGTTCTCAGCACCCAGCAGCTCCCCTTATCTTTCACATGGGCCTTTGTCTCTGATCTGGCTCATTTACCCAGGACCAGACTCATAAGAACTGCCATTCACTGGGTCAGACCATAGATACATAGAGGAGTAGGGCTGGAAGGGACTGCCAGAGATCATCTACCTGTCTGAGGCTGGATCATCCTTATCCAAACCCTTACTATCCAAACCATCCTACCATGTCTTTTTTGCCCAGTATCCTCTGTCACACAGTGGCAGAGAGTGTCCGCTGAAAGGGAGAGTGAACTGTTTACCATGGCCCCTTCTGAAGGAAACTGGCACGATGTGGGGTGAGAAGTCTCTTGAAAACCAGTCCCTGCTGAAACTTGATTAGCAATCTCTGCTGCTGAAGAGGTCACTTTTAAACTCCAGGGGGCGTCAGACACTTCAGCATTTGCAATTGGGTTTCTCAGGCTTTCTGCAGTGCTTATACTTGCTCTGTCCCATGTGGTGGGATGATATTTGCCAAACAGATGGTCTGGCCACAGTTTGTAAATACAGAAAAATTCTATTCCATGCATTTGTCCTCTCTTTCCATTTATAATCATATGGGCTCATCTGATCGCTTTGGGCATTTTTGCAAAGTACACGGTGTCCAGGACAATGCACTAAATATACATCTGATGTACCCAACGGTCCCAACATCTGAAGCAACTACTTATATGTTGGGTACTTAACAACTCGGGTTTTTTTTGTTTGTTATTGAATAATATTAGTTACTTGCCCATCAATCATTATCATAAATGTGATCACTGTCATAATTGCAGCAACATTTAATAGGGCCAGATATGGATGAGGAGCCTATTGTGCCAGGTACTGTAAAAAAAACAACAGAACAGTGATCCCTTTGGCAAAAAACTTAACCTTATGGGCCCAAAGCTTGTCCTGTTAAAGTCAGAGAGACTTAGCTTCGATGAAGTAAGGTAAGTATTTATACCCCTGAACCTGTTTCCTCCCAAAACAGCCCAAGCCAGCTCCCATTAAATCGATGCAAAGATGCCCACTAAGTTCTGTGGAAGTTAGAGTAGGTTGCAAATATGCTACCAAAATAAATAAAGAAGTGTATTTTGCAGCCTGCTGGAAAAGTTAATTAGAAAGTAGAACACAATTTCCCAGATTGGAATTTAATTAAGGGCAGCAGAACTAGTGCCTCCTTGGGGAGAGGGGGTGGGGGAAAGTGCCACGTACACTCTATGAGCACAACTGGTCAGTACTTCTAGGTCTCATCTAGAAGATAAGGCCTTTATCAGGACAGTGTTCTCCCCCACTGCCACTATGACACTAAACCACTGGATTTCAGTTCTGACCCAGAGGAAATGGTTCACTGTACTCAGTTATCTTTTCCCTGTAGCACAGCACCTCTTAACATCGCCCTGGGCTTCATCCTGACTCAGAGGGGAGAGCACCCTCCACAAAGTCATCTATACCAGCAGATCTACATTTGCTACAGGAGCCGAGTTCTCAAGCTTTTGTACCTTATGTCCCACCAACCATTTTGTCAAAAAACCCTGGTCCCACTATGATAAAAACAAAACCCCACAAAATTGTTCAAGGTATCTGTTGATTCATCTATTTGAAGTGCAAACAACTGATTTTTTTCAATCGGGCAATGAGTTGAAGTTCCACCTACACAACCTTTGAGTCCTGCCAGTGGTTGAGAAACACGTCCCACTGGTTGAGAAGCACTGATCTACACCATTTTTTAGTGTCGTTGTACAAGGCATTCAAGACAGGTCTCCCTTTCAAGCGCATCCCAACTAAGTGCTGCTTAGGTTGTGAGGCTCAAAAGTAGAAACCTTGCAAAGGCTAAGGAAGCCAACTCTTACTACAATCCAGGCAATCCATGAAGTGAAGGTCACCCACTCCCACCCTAGGTCAAAGGTGTGGGATTGGGGATGGCACCACTGTGGAGCCCACAGTTCCTGGGACAGGCTCCCAGGCAGCCTGAGAATTCAGCACATTGCTGAGATTTTACTAGGATTCCAGATGGTCTTTGATCTACCTTCAAACAGAAAGAACAGGCAAAGGATTTTACAGACCTCCTCCCCCTCACCACCAGCCCACGGACTGCGGTAGGGAAGGCGGGTCCTGACTCGCTCCACAGCCACAGGTCCAAGGCCTGGTGGGCGGGAATTAAGAGCTGTTTCCTTCACAGTGCATGTCCCATGCGCTCTCAGAGCCTTGGGTGGGCAGTGGAGCCTGGGGGGTGCTCAAGGCAAAGGTCCCTTAGACCCCAGGGGTCCCATCTTTGGATATGATTGCAGGGACCATCCTTACAGCCCATGGTGTCCTCTCTGGTCCCAAATGACGTAGCATCTCTCTCTCCACTACACTATCTCTGTAGCCCAGTGGTGCTCAACCGTTCAGCTACGTGGGCCAAGTGCGTGGTGTGGGGTCAGTTCAAAGGTTGGATCTGGTCCGTGGGCCTGATCTGGCATGTGGGACTGACCTGGCCTGGGCCCAGTCCAGTGTGCAGGGCCATCCCAGTGTGTGGCCCCAACTGCACATGCTGAATCAAGGCCTGGCTCTAGCCCCATGTACAGGGCTGTGTCATCTGGCCCTCAGGGCTTAGAAATTTGGTGGAGGGGAAGCAGTGGAAGTGTCAATTGCCATCGCACCCCTGCTGCCAAATCTCCAGACCTGTGAGGAGCCCTGTGGGCCAGAGGTTGAGCACCGGTGTTTTAGCTGAATGGCTCTCACTGCCCACCAGTGGAAGTTTCTCAGCCCAGGGCTATAGGGGATTCACTGCTAGAGGTTGCGATAGGCCTAAAAAACTGGGCTAGGAAGGGTCCGTGGACCTGAAGGAGGAGAATACAGTGGGGAGACAAGTAGTTGTAAGGGAAGTAGGCCAGCATACTAGGAAAATACTTGAGCAATGGGGAGCTTAGAGGGGAGTGAATGGGGATGAGTAGGAAATCAAGCAGGGTGTGAACTTATGAAGGGACCCCAGGGACTGGAGTGTGGGGAGGGAGGAACTGAGCTGCATTGCAGGAGCTAAGATGGGCCCCCTGCGTATAAAGGACTAGAGGCTCTAGCAGTTTCAAGAGTAAGCAAGCTGGCAGCTGCAAGAGTTAATCCTTTTTGATGGCTCTGGGGAGCCCTGGGGTGGGAGAGGAAGTACAGGGTAGTGGTTAAAAGAGGGAGGGTGATGGAAGATCTTGGTTTGTTGCTAGAGTAGGGTACTGAGGAGATGAGGGCTCCTGGGTTCTCATCTGCTCCTGGCTTTGGAAGGAGCATAGGAATGACTGGGGTACTGAATTCAGTCTCTTGCTGGGGGATGGGACTGCAGGTTAGTGGTTAGAGCAGGAGACTAAAAAGGCTTCTAGGTTCTTTCCCTGGCACTGGGAGGAAATGTGGTTAGACTCCTGGGTTCTGGTCCCAGTCCTGCAACTAACCTGGTCTCTGGTGTTGGCGAGCTGGGAAGAAAGGTACTTGCCTGGTTAAATGAAGGAAACACAGTGCAGTTGGTGCAGGAGACCCTTGCTCAGGAGAGGGAGCCACATTTCCATCAACTATGACTTTCCATCCAAGTTGTTGGGTAGGATGAGTGTCAGCTCATGCAGGGCTCTGCATAAATGCCTAAGGACTCAGGGAAGAAGACAGCTACCCTTGCTACAGCAATCTGTGGGCATTCCTACCCAATGGCGGCCCTCAGGCTGCTCTGAGAGCCAGTTACTTAGGGTGGGGCCTTGTGGCTTCCCCCTCAGGGGAGCTCCCTCCCTGGCATGGAGTAGCAGACATTAAGTCACCTCAGTGGAGGTGGGGTGAGGGGCTTTGAAGTGGTTACACCCTTACAATCCCTTTTCTGCACCTCATGGGGAAAGGGAGCTGAGATTCAAGGAAGGGGCAGAGAGGACCCATGCTTAAGCTAGCTGTTGGGGTGAGATGAGGGTTTCTTCTTCCCGTTCCCCAAGCAGTGAGGCCACCAGAGGCATCCTGAGGCTCAGCCCGTCACCCTATGACCTGGCATGGAAAGGGGTAAGGCAAGAGGTAAGCTTCCTTGGAGACACACTGGATCATCAATGGAGCAGGCACAGGCAAGGAGACAAGTCACCTCTCTCTCAGCCATGGAGCTGCTCCATTCCAGAAACCCCCAAACATCACAGCAGCAAGGACTGTCCAGATTGGAGCTCAGTTTGTTCACATGGAGGACCAAAGTCAGTGATGCAGAGCAGGACAGTAAGACAACCATGAGCAAGACACAGGGGTGTGGGATGGGTCAGGAGAGCCCACTCACTACTCCCATGTAATAGGTGTCTGTCTGTGCAGGGTCCCCTGAATGTGAGGTTGGGTAGAGCTCCAGGCAGAGAGTCAGCTCAAACTACTGCAGCTCATGTTCTTCACTCTGAAACCTCCTGGTGAATTGACCAGCTCAGCAACCATCACACTGGTGCTTCTACAACTAGGTAACTCTTAGCACCCTCCCCTCACCCTGGCTTGGTCTTCTAAGAGGTGCTGGGAGATGCTGCATCACACTCCCTCACCACCCCTCTGCAAGGGGACGCACAAAGCAGCGTCTCTCATTACAGGATCACACTACGCCAGGCTATGCAGTGTCCCTTGCTGCTCCGCAAATCTGGGCTGGCTATAAATATTTCAGAGGCTAATTGTAGTAAATTATCCAATTATAGCCATGAATCGCCTCCTGAACTAGCCTGGCACGGCTGCACCTCTCAGATAATAAATGGTCCTGAAATAGCCTGGTTGGGCAGGAGTGGGGGGTGAAGGCAATTATCCAGCCTGGCTGGGAGAGAGCTACAGAAACCTAGCAGTAGGTGGTCTTAGAGAGGCACTGTGGCATATATAGCAAGACTAGGGCCTAGGAGCCCTGGGTTTGCCTCCTACCGCTACCCCTCTGATCTTGTGGCCTTTCAAGGAGACTAATTTGAGAGGGCTGCAGAGTTGGTCAAGGAGACTGTTTAACTTGGGGAAAGTTTTGCAAGATGGCAAAGGCTCATGTATGTCAGATCTGTTTCTCTCCCTAACCCCACCATGGATTTCCAGCATTTCTCTGCAGGCTTCTCCTTTCCTGTCTCTGCTTTTCTGGTTTGATCTATAGCATGGGATTCCCATGGCCCTCACAGTTTAAGCAGGTTTGGGACAGTTCAGTATTTCTATGGGAGACTTGCAAGAGGTGGTACAGGCCATGGGTTAGGAAGATGGCTTTTCCTGTCTGAGTCAGGACTTTCTCAGTATCCTAGTGGAATTCTAGGCTGTGGGTGGGGTAAGAATTAGAGCTCTCCCCACCTTGGTAAGAATGAACGATCACCACACCCAGCAAAATCTCAAGGTACCTTACAAAGGAGCTCAGTAGCATCATCTCCTTTTTACAGGTGGGGAAACTGAGGCAAAGAGACCTACCCAGAGTCACCCTGCAGGACAGTGGCTGGGTTGAGAACAGAATTCACCCAGAGTCACCCTGCAGGACAGTGGCTGGGGTGAGAACAGAAATAACAGTCTCCTGAGTCCAAGCTAAGTGCTCCACTAGGCAACCCTGATTTGTCACAGCC